ATGAATTTTCTAAACAAAAGTTGATCATAACTAGAAACTCTTACAGGCAGTAATAGGATAAAACTGAATTTTGTACAGATATTTTTATAAAACCTATTCCAAGTTAGAAATAAAGCAAGGAAAATAGTGTATATTACAGGAACAGTGTTCTAAGTTATTACTTATAAGTGTTTGTATAGTAAACATGTTCATTTATTGCACTTACCACTTTAATACAAACTTTTCTTCCCAAAAAACATAGAAGTGCCACATTAATCTCAGATGAAAGATCATGGTTTTGTCAGATTTGTCATTCACACTGAAAAATCCTCAGTTTGAAACTGAGCTGAATCATAATGATCTTTTTGTATAGTATTTGCAGTTTTGAGCTTTTGCAGTGTCCCATGACAAGCTCCCTCCGGACTCTTAGCATTCAAGCATGTTCTCTGCTATTTTTTTTTTTTTTTTTTTAACATCAGAGAGGTATCCTGACACTTTTCTACTCTTGGTTTGTAAACCAGCAGGTGCAATTTGCATACAGTCATGTCCTTCAGGTACTGTGCAGAAAGTGTAGAAGAGCTGGATACCTCTTAAGGTAACCTAGAACCTTGGTTTTAAATTCCTCATGTTGTTGGTAGCATTTCTCACAGACCCCTTTTCTGACAGAACATGCCAGCTCCTATATGTCATCTGCTTTCTGGAGTCTCCAAGGGAAAGCAGAGAGATTGGATCATCTTCTCTCGCTCCTCAAACCAGTTCACTTCTAATTTGCCAGAAAATTGTTTCTACAATTCTGTAAGTCAGAGAATTGCCACATCTCCTTGAAAAGGCAAATACTGCTTTGTTAAAGTAAGTGTCTTCTGTACAGGACTGCTTAGTTAGCAACTGTTGCTCTGTATGAGGATTACTTACCCTCTGTATGAAGTTCCACAACAGCATCAGCTGATCTGAATCAGTGATGTTACAGTCCCAGTTTGGGACTAGATCTGGTGGTTGTACAGTCCTAAGCAATTCAGAGTTGGGTCAGCTGAATGCAAACCCTTTAAAAAAATTGTTTTGGCTAGGTCAAAACTAGTGGTGGTGTAGGGAAATAGCACCATTGTACAAGTACTGGTACCTGTGTGGGAGGGGAGCTAAAATGTCAGGCTGCAGAAGGTGGGCCCCTGCAGTTCTACCTTAGGTCAGCTTTAGCTGACCAGAAACTGCACCTCGAAGTTATCCTTTTCATTGTGGGACATGTTCACCCACTTAAGTTCATATTTTACCTCACCCTGGTCATTAACAGACATGCAGAATATCAACATCTAACTGGAATAAATGCACCCTGTACTTCCTTTTGACTGAGAACAGACATGACCCTAATCAATCACTTGGGTTTCATCTCAAAACTGTTCTTACAGAGATACCATAATACCTTCTAAATAGTGACACTTCCTAAATACACATTCTGAGTGTATTTAGGGGAAGATGGTACAGAATCTGGAATTTATGACAGGAAAATGTCCCAACATTAGTGTCAGAATTGTTGTGACTTTTTTCTTTTTCCTTGTTTGATCCTTATTAGGGAATTAATAGCCTCTTCTCTCTGGAACCAAAGAGGAAATGTTAGTGATCAACCTACAGACTTTTTCAATTGCATACCACCTGTTCATATAGATGTACACAGTCTCCAGAGGCTCAGTTCTGTCTGAGATTAATTATTTGCATTTTCTTTAAGATATTTGTGAAATAACATTGCTTTTGTGTGGCTGTAAGTCTGGAAATGTCAGATAGATTACTGAAACAGGGAATTTAGAGATAACGGTGAATATGAGGATTTGCTTCCAAGTATGTAAAAAGAATTTGGGGGGGGGGGTTCATTGGCAATAAACCTGAGAGCCAAACCAAAGCAATCTACCAGCAGATCTACTTGACATCTACTACTTGTTAGTACAGTGGTACAGTAAAAATCCAAGGATTTTTAATGTCTGTCTGGTAGTAGTTTATTAGATTGATGGGTCCACGCTGAATGCTAGATGGGCAAGTCCTCCAAATGTTGCAGCAATTGGTACCCCTGAAACCATGGCAAATGCCACTGACTGCCGTTTGCTACCATGCTGAGCGAGAATAGGAATCAGAAGGAGCTAACACTTAGCTTAGCCTACCACGTGCTGTGGAGATGGAGATGCATTGGCAAGATAGACCTGTGTCCTGGTTTCAGCTGGGATGTAGTTAACTGTCTTCCTAGTAGCTGGTACAGTGCTATGTTTTGAGTTCAGTATGTGAAGAATGTTGATAACACTGATGTTTTCAGTTGTTGCTCAGTAGTGTTTAGACTACAGTCAAGGATTTTTCAGCTTCTCATGCCCAGCCAGGGCACCTGACCCAAACTGGCCAACAGTGTATTCCATACCATGGGACGTCCCGTCTCGTTTAGGAACTGGGAAGTGGGGGGCAGGGATTTGCCGCTCGGGGACTGGCTGGGTGTCGGTCGGCGGGTGGTGAGCAATTGCACTGCGCATCATTTGTGCGTTTCAATCCTTTTATTACTACTGTTGTCATTTTATTAGGGTTATCATTATCATTATTAGTGTCTTCTTTTCTGTTCTATTAAATCGTTCTTATCTCAACCCAGGAGTTTTACTTCTTTTCCTGATTTTCTCCCCCATCCCACTGGATGGGGGGGGAGTGAGTGAGCGGCTGCGTGGTGCTTAGTTGCTGGCTGGGGTTAAACCACGACAACCTGAGGTAAGGCTGAACTGTAGGTACTTTGTGAATAGTGTCATCTCCAAGCTCATCCACTTATTGTTTACTGTGTTAAAAAGATGTCAGTGAGAACAGTTTTCCTCAGGATCCTGCAACACAGACTTCGACTCTCATACGGTTGATCAGAGGTGATGAACACTAAACCAAAAATACGTGATTGCTCTTCTGAAACAAAACCGTACTTTGGAAGCTGACAAAGTTGCTGTGCAGATGGAGAAAACTTGTGGAAGCTATATCCTGCAAGTAGCATGACTTCCCCTCTGTCATGGCCATGGTATTGAACAACTACTACTCTTTCCCTGGTCTAAGTCAAATATTGAATCTTTAATTCCAAACATTTAAGGATTTTCTCACATGGTTACTTTTTGGCAATCAGGCTGAATGCTTGATAATTAGTTCCGTCTTCCCATCCCCTTTTTCTCAAGAGAAAAAAAATCAGACATTAAACTCCAGTGTTACAGAATGGAAGAGCTTCGTACATGGAAGGACTGTGAGGGTAGGAATCCTCAGCCTGGAGAAACAGAGGTCTTGAGAGACATAGGGGTCATAAGAATTATGAGTGCTGTGGAGGGGAAGCACAGGGATCAATTGCTTGCTGTATCTTCCAGTACAGAAGCAGCATCAAACGGTGTGGGCAGATAGAAGGTTCAGATGAAACCACACAACGCGTCATTATGCTGAGCAACTCTGCCACAGCATGTTATGGATGCAAGAAGTTCATGTGAGTTCAAGAGGAGACCAGCAAGGGTTATAAAATAACCAGACACTATCTCTGCCGTTGGAAGTCCCTCCAGATGGTTGGCGACTGGGAGCGTTTTCAGGGACTGTATCATTAAAGGCTCTCTGTAGTCTTAATACTTTTCCTTGGGCATCCACTTTTGGCCACAGTTGGAGACGGGGCATGGGTCTAGACAGACTCTGTCTGACCCAGCAGAGACGTTCTTACATTTTCTTGTTTTCCATGTTCCAGTGCTTGCATCACAGCTTTAAACATTGCATGTCTGCCCACAAAGTGCTTCCCTAATGAAGGGGACAAACTCTTTTGTAATACATAGTGAGACATTTTATTGGCCCGTAGCATTAATAAGCAGGAAAAGTATATTGAAAAATTCAAGAAAGCAAACTTTTAATGTATGGCATACGCAAAATGCACCTGTAATGTGCTACTTCAACAAAGAGTAAGCTCATCTAATAACCATCTTTTAAAACAGAGGTGTGGATACCAAAACGCAGCTTTTCCAACTCTTTTAATGACTGACTTTAAAAAAAAGCCTTCCCACAAAGAGTAGGGGAAATCCAAGATGCTGAAAGGCAAAAAGCGCATATATTCATGAGTTTAAATTTGGGGAATTTCCCTTCGTACTGGACATTGATAAAAAGTTATGTCTTTTAAACATCACATTATAGTGCAGCTGTGGCAACAGTTACCCATTATGAATAACTCAAACATCTTTTCTGAGGTTAGTGTGTATTTCTTTGCTTTAAAGTAATACTCGCTGAAGAGAACACTTGGAAATACTTTGTTTAGAAAACGAAGAGGGGGTTTTTGTTTTCCTGGCTGCCTGTACAGCTCGTGATGATACTTTTCTCCAGTTCTCCGATACCTCCGCGCGTGTTCTCTAGCGGCTGCCCAAGGCGTTTGCGGTTTCCCGAGCAGCAGAACTCACTCCATCAGTTCTGTCAGCATCCCCCGCCGGCCCGACCGCCTGCCCCTCCGCTTCCCACCGCCTTTTCGCCACGCAGCCGAGGGCG